AATTTATGTTAGAAATCATGTTTAGGCTATATGCCGGTGCTATTGGGACCCATAGTGGTCGTTCTTTACTGTTGAGTTATTTACTTAATTGTAGTTATGTACCCAGTCACATTCATCATTGATATCATATCTCAGTTTCTGTTATCATACATTGTCAAATTATGTATCATTGATTTGTGCTGCTTAGCATGAACGTTGTGAGCCCGAGAGACTGGAGAGATTGATGACTAAGTGAGGCCGATGGCCTGTTTGTGTGTGATATTTATGGGATCCCCCTAAAAGAGGCGCATGCTTTATTGATTCATGCCCCTCGGGCCTGTTTGCTACCTCGAAACATTAATGGGAGATTTTTTTACTGCTCGATTTGCAGATTGTCGATTCATAAGATATTTTTCCCAAATTAGGGGGAGAAAATGGTGAAACCAAACGACAAATTTTGTGAAAAAATCCATCATTGTCCCATCTTGATCCATATGCCTCTTTTGTGAAAAAGAGGTGCAAAATATTATTTATTTGCATAAAATAGCAAATCAAATGCCAAACGCATTAACGAATCTGAAAAGGATAACAAAATCACATATCCTTGTAGAAAATATTCCAATCCGTATTGATGTCCTTGTTAGACAATCTTCTAGTGTAATAGCTATTGAGTCAAAAGCACGCCTAAAGCGTGTCAGACCATTGGGTTCTAAGGATCGAAATCTTAGAAAAAGAAAAAAAATGATCAAGATGACACTAAAAGAATCTCATAAAGAAATCCATGATTTAATCAGATCTGAGATTCATGAGGAGATCACTGAGCCTGAGACCAAGAAAATAATGGACTTTCAATAAATCCAATTGTTATTGAGACGAATTTGAATCGATTGGATATAGTGGTAGATTATGTCTTTGCATATAATGTTGCATCTAAGATTATGCAGGATAGTGAGGATCTTGAACCTCAATCTGTTGGAGAATATCGGCAAAGACGTAATTGGCCAAAATGGCAAGAAACAATCCAATCAGAGTTGAATTCACTTGTGAAACGTGAAGTTTTTAGGCCTATAGTCCAAACACCTAATGGCTTTAAGCTTGTTGGCTCTAAATGAGTCTTTATACGCAAGATGAATGAGAAAAATAAGGTACAAAGATATAAGGCACACCTTGTTGCACAAGGATATATAAGGCACACCTTGTTGCACAAGGATTTTTACAAAGGCCTGGTGTCGATTATGAAGAGACATATTCACCTATTATGGATGAAAAAATATTTCGTGATCTCATTAGTTTTGTTGTACAGAAAAGCTTGACCGGTATTTAATGGATGTGGTTACAAACTACCTTTATGGCTCACTTGATAATGAGACATACATGCAAAATTCGAGATGAAAGATCTCGAAAAGACAAAATTATGTCTCGGTTTGCAAATTGAATGTTTGGCAAGCGGATTTTTTGTTCATCAATCTGCCTACGCAAAAAAGGTATTGAAACGGTTTTACATGGATGGAGCACATCCGTTAAGTACTCCGATGGGTATGCGATCACATGACATGAATAAGGATTCGTTCTGACCTTAAGAAAAGAATGAAGAGTTTCTTGATCCTGAAGTACCATATCTTAGTGTAATTGGTGCACTAATGTATTTTGCTAATACTACAAGGCCTGACATAACCTTTTTCAGTTAATATCTTAGCAAGATACGGCTCTGCTCCTACAAGGAGATATTGGAATAGAATCAAACACATATTGTGGTATCTAAAAGGGACTATAGGATTATTTTATGGCGATGATTGCAGTCCCGATCTTGTTGGTTATGCTAGTACTGGGTATTTATCTAACCCACACAAGACTCGATCAACTAAGAAATCAATCGTGGCTAATTCATCTAATCATGTTGAGATAATTGATATTCATGAAGGTTGAGAATGTGTGTGGTTGAGGTCTATAATACATCTTATTCAAGAAAAATATAGTTTGAAGTGTGACAAAATACCCACGATTTTGTATGAAGACAATGTAGCATGCATAGCCCACTTGCATGGAGGATTCATAAAACGAGATAGGACAAAACACATTTCACGAAAGTTATTTTTCACACCAGACCTTCAAAAGAATGGTGATATCAATGTGCAACAGACTCGTTCAAGTGATAATATGATTTGTTGACCAAATCTCTACCAACGCCAACCTTCCATAAGCTAGTGTACAAGATTGAGATGCGAAGGCTTAAAGATGTGAATTGATGCTCTCATCAGGGGGAGTTAATACACGTTGTACTCTTTTTCCCTTATAAGATTTCGTCCCACTGAGTTTTCCTTGCAAGGTTTTTAAAGAGGTAACCAAAAGGCATTATTAAATATGTATACTATTTTTCCTTCACTAGAATTTTTTTCAACTGGATTTTATTTTAGTTAAAGTTTTAACGAGGCACATTATATGTTGAATAGACATTACAGGGGGAGTTTTATAAATAGTATTATATTTAAGGTGAATGCCTATCTTTTAGAGAGATTTTAGAGTTTGTTACTTTGTGTCTAGTTCACTTTTCCCCTATAAATAGAGGGGGTTCTATTCTACTATAATTCATTCAAAAATCAATAAAAATTCTCTCCTTTTTCTGTGCAATTTTTATTGTTTTATTTCACACATAAAGCAATTACGTGGTCATTTTGTGTTCTATTTTTTTTTATTTAAAGAAATTATTTTGGATATGGGAAAATATGCTTCCAAAATTTTTAACTATATAATAAGCAAAGGTTCCTTGGACGACCAAGGGTGTTTTGGTAATTTGATACATGGATATTTCTAGAACCTGGACACATTATTATGTTAATACAAGACCCATTGAAAGTGGACCACGTGTCCTTTTGTTCTCCACGTGCTCAACTTTTACTTTACCATTTATTTCCTTTCTTTTACACTTTCCATTGTCTACTGTCCAGCCACTTCATCTTCTTCACTGGAAAAAGGTACGGTCTTCTACCCACTTTAGTTTCAATTATTTCTCTCTCTCATTCATCTACTTCTCTTCTATATTCTAGCAGTGCATTTCCTTGATGGTTTATTTCATTTCGTGGGTCTCTATCTGGGTTTCAACGTTCTCCATTTTGTCTAATTTGTGATTCTCTAAGATTTCAATTTGTGGGTAAATTTTTGCTAGATTCTTTTCCTTTCCGTTTAATTTTCTTCTGTTTGCCTTTTTGTTTTGTTTTTTTACTTTTAGTACTCCTTTTTGGATTTCATTTGTAGCTTTTTAAGTTTCTCACTAGAAAAAGGCAGGGAGATGGATATTATTTGTCTTTCCTATGTTTTTCTAACCATGCATGTGTTAATTTACAGCGACAAAGAGCAATTTTAGGCTTTTTCTTTGTTATTGAGATTGTTAGTAATAATAATTAAAGTGATTTCCTAAATTTTTTCTCATGTCTCTGTTTCTATTTATGCTGGATTCCTCTTGGTCTTTCTTTTTTTTCCCCCTATTTTTTCTCTTGATTTCTTTATGCTTTCTGCATTTATGTCTTGCATGTGTGAGTTCTTTCAGATGAATGTCGGAAGAACAACAGTTATGTAAAATTAGCATTTACTCCTGAATAAACCAAAAAAAGAGAGAGCAGAAAAGGTGAAAAACTAACAAAATCCATAATGCTAGCAAAAGTCTTGGAAGCGGACGACGAAAGATAGATTTTTTCTTTATGGTAAAGTTATGAAAGTGGAACCTTGTTTTGAGGCGGAAAGGCAAAAGCAGGATTTGTGTGCTTAGGGGTATCAAAGTGGAAGATAATAGGACACGTGGTTTACATCTGAAAATGAAGAGTTCTTTGTTTCTATTTATGCTGGATTCCTCTTGATCTTTTTTTTTCCTATTTTTTCTCTTGATTTCTTTATGCTTTCTACATTTTATGTCTTGCATGTGTGAGTTCTTTCAGATGAATGTCGGAAGTTAATTTATACTGATTAACACCTGCAAATTTCATATTTCAGTATGTTTTAGGTTACAAGGAACATTTTCATATCTTTCTTCAACTCCTCTGTATTTCTTTTTCCTCTATCTGATAATTGCTCATCGCTTCTGGGTATCATTTCCCAAATTATCCATTTTCGGTTTCTAATTTTCTAGCTTTTATTTTATTCGTTACTTCTGGTAAGTTTTCCCCTGTTTTTTGCCTTTCTTGTAGTGATTTCTGCCGTTCACTTTGGAATTCCTTTAAAAGTTTGTCTATTTTTGCTTCAATTTTAGTTTTCTTACTCTTCCGCATAATTTCTATCTTGATTTTTTATATGCATGTCAGTAAGTCTACTCTATCTGATGTGCACATGCATGTTTGAGATTGTACCTGGTGCACATAAGTTTATATTATTTTGGCTTACTCATCGTTGATATCTGTTCGTCTTTTGGAACTAATTACTAACTGTATATCGAAACGTCGGAGCAAAAATCTATTGTATTATGCTTTTTGTTGGAAGATTGGGTCTGTGCTACAATAGCAAAGATTTAATTGGTGATAATATCGGTTTATTTGTAAACATACTTTCATTGTGTTCTCTTTCTGTAAATCTTAATATATCTTATAGTTAATAATACTTTCCATCTGAATGTTTTTATTTTTACTCTTATTTTACTTTATTGTTTCTAATTTATTTTTAAAATTTTTGTATTTCTAAACTGTTGCAAACTTGATGAATCCAAAGTGTCGGTGATATGCCTGAAACAACACAAAATTATTTTGGTAAGAATTTCTTTGTTTCTCTTTGTATTATTGAGCAAATTAGGACTATCTTCAACTATACGAAGTTTTACATTCCTCTGAATTGGGGACATTTTTCATAAAAGTTATACAAATGGAGAAATACTTATAGAAGGCTAGAAGCAATAGTAGCGTTTTGCATTTTTCTTGTTATTTCAGTTGGATTTGTTGCTGTTTGGTAATTGACCGTGGTATAAGTTGAGATGGTATAAGCTGTCATTGATTGATTCTTTTTTTGTCTACCTAATCGTTTCTTGGCCAAGTATGGATGGACCTGTCATAATGTGAAAATAAATTCTATTTAAAGGACTTCTCTATGCAGTAAAAGATTATAGGATGATAAAACTAAATCGCTGGACTTCTAGATTCGGCGACGATGAATTTTTTGAAGCCCTGGCAATGATGTTGATGCTGGTGACAAACAGATTGGAAAAATGTCGGTCAACTATCAATGTGTTTTATTTAAACCTTTCAATAGTGAGATTTTGAATGCAGTATTTACCATAACTCAGAAGGTAAGAAAATTATGTTGTATTTAAGATATGCACAATATTATTTTTTAATTTTTCACTATCTATAGATATTTCATTCCTGACTATATTATTTTCTGCTTATGCATGTCTACTTCTGAATATTTTGTGTCAATTTGGTAGTAAGAACTGGCACTGAAAGGAACTCAATGAAAATAAAGGCTATATGAACAAAATCCTCAAAGGTCAGTAATGCACGCATTTATGTTCTACCAATAATTTCGGTTGCCTTTATCTTGCTTATTTTCAACATTGGTGGTAAAATAGCTCAACCATGCGAGGTACAAGAGTGTGATTCAATGATAAGGGCCTTATTGTTAACCGAAAATCTGGGGAATAATCAATCTTCTTTTACCACAATAAGACATTGTTGCTTCTTTCAAGGTATACCCCTACGTTGTGTTCTTGTTTCCTAAGAAAGATTTAGTTAGTATTGTCTACAATATTATTGGCATGGACTTAGATCAGTAGATTGTGTTTAAAAAAGAATATGTATATGAAAATAAGATTGAGACAGTTATGAATTCCATTCAGTTTCCTTTACTTGATCGAACAGCCCAAAATTCAGTTATTTCAACTACATTAAATGATCTTTCAAATTGGTCAAGACTCTCTAGTTTATGGCCGCTTCTCTATGGTACCAGTTGTTGCTTCATTGAATTTGCTTCACTAATAGGCTCACGCTTCGACTTTGATCGTTATGGACTAGTACCAAGATCGAGTCCTAGACAAGCGGATCTAATTTTAACAGCCGGAACAGTAACAATGAAAAATGGCCCCCTCTTTAGTGAGATTATATGAGCAAATGCCTGAACCAAAATATGTTATGCTATGGGGATCCGTGTACAATTCAGGCGGGATGTTCAGTACCGATTCTTATAGTACTGTTCGGGGAGTCGATAAGCTAATTCCTGTAGATGTATATTTGCCAGGTTGCCCACCTAAACCGGAAGCGGTTATAGATGCTATAACAAAACTTCGTAAGAAAATATCTCGAGAACTCTATGAAGATCGAATTAGGTCTCAACGAGCGAATCGGTGTTTTACTACCAATCACAAGTTTCATGTTCAACACAGTATTCATACGGGAAATTATGATCAAAGAGTTCTTTATCAACCGCCATCTACTTCAGAGATCCCTACGGAAATCTTTTTCAAATACAAAAATTCAGTATCTTCCCCCGAATTAGTGAATTAGACAGGATTCCTTTGTCCAGAATAAAAAGTGGTGGGTCAATTTTCAGAAATTTCATCGTAAATGTGAAATACTTATATAAAAAAAAATGCGNATGCCAAAGTGCGAATGCTTGCTGTCAAAGCGCTTGCATCAGTGTGTGAAATCTAATTCGTGCCAGAAAATCGTTAAAATACATATCTCTGTTTCTTTTCATTGACAATGAGGTTATGCAGATATCTTTTTAAACATAGGATGGTTATTGTGAAAATAACTGAGATTCTGTTGGTTCTTGGGTTCGTAAAACTGTCATCGATGGCCTGAAAGGTGCACCTATATTCTATACAAGAGAGGACTCATGGGATTTTCAAGGAAGTTGGAACAAATTGAACTTGCATCTATTTAAGAGTTTTCACTATTAAAATAAGAAACAAGATAGTAATGAAGGTGTTTATCAGGCTGCAAATAGCTACACATTTCATTAGCTATAGTCATATCTATTTTATCTGGAAGCAAAGATTTTCTTATTAATTTTCTAGAAGCAAAGATCCCTGTCTTCAATATCTTTCTTCTTATTTTCTAAGAGTCCATTTCTACATCAATCATAGCTCACAATTGTTATAATTGCATAATAGATATCTGAGCTTGAGAAGGTGTCGGCCACGATGTCACTTAATAAGCAATATGTAACCTTGATGCTAAACTTCATAGTTTAGCTTCAGAACCTATACGTCATCTCTTATCCCGAATCCTGATTATTCTGGGATAAACTTGAAAGATTGCTTATCCTCTTGAATCTGTTCGTTGGTTGATATATGTGTCATCTCTTGTGAGGTCATTGTGTGGAGTTCACATTAAAGCTACTGCATAATCTAGACATTTAAACAATTTAGTGAATGTTATTTTAAGCCATGTTAAATTTTCACACTGTTATAGAAAGTAAACAAGCAATTGTTAGCTATATAGTTTAGTGAAGTAGTGTTGAATTTATTTTATTTTTGCAGCTAACCCCACCATTAGCAGAATAGAAGTGACTTGAAGGTGCTAAAAGAAGCTCTTGACATAAATCTTTGTGGCAAGCGATCGATACACTTCTTGAGATGCTTAGAAAGGACAGCAAAACACCTGACGTGTTCATTTTGATGGAAACCATGAGGTATTGTATTGTGTCCCCCTTCAAACTGTTTAACTCTCTAATTTGGTTAAAAGGGTTAGAGTATTATAAATCTCACAATCTACATAGAGGAGAGATAAAGACTATATAGAATTGAAGCAACTAAAAAGGGAGATAGGGAACTTTTAGTCAAAGCATTAAATTATTAAGTCACACATAATGTAATTGCACCATGAAGTTTGTCAGAGTTGGTTACCAGAGATGATGTGTTCAATCTAAAAGGTTCTTAATGTTGGATGAGACAAGGTGGTCCAAATATTATTGGGCTCTGTGATGATAATTCTAAAGTTTTTCATAGTTTCCTTCACGGAGGCATTAAGCTTCATACATTATGACTCTGATAGTGTAGTTCAACTGACATTTGAATATAATCATGGACTTCTATAAGATCACATATTTTATTTTCACAAAAAGAGCAAACTCTGCAAACATGCAGTATACAAAATACAGAAACCTTTGCAGATATCTCCTCGGACATTGAGCTTTTGATCTAAGAATTTCAAGCCAATCAAGATGAAACGACTAATTTTTAATCAATAATATTTCCACTTCCTCTTTCAATATATGTAGATAAGAGTAGACAACTTTACCAAGAGATAATACTGTAGAAATGAGCTCTTACCAAAAGAAAATGAGGTTCTTGGACAGACGTGTTCGTATAGGGATGGCTTAAGTATTTCTCAGAAAACATATCCATAACTGGTATTTTAATTCATGGGCGAATTCCAAGTAATCACTGTTGGCTCAAGCAAGTGGGGAGGAGAAGGGGAAGGATCTCAACTTCATAGCTAATACCAGTTGCGGAAAGAGAAGCGGGACAAGTTTCCACTGATACAAAATGTTCACTGACCCTCATTCTAGAGAACAGTTCTTCTCATACTCTGTTAGTACTGATTCCTACAAGTTTACCTTCCCAACAAAGTTTCAATTGTTGATTTTTTTGAGGGGGAGGGGGTTCCTGCATTATTTTATTCTGTTTTTCACATTATTGTCAGTTTCTGCTCCATATTTGTGCAGTATGCACTTACTTTTCAGTTTCTGCACCATATTCTTCTAATTTTTTTGGTAGATTTTCCTGCATTTTGCACTTTTTTTGCACTCCATGCGTTATGCACCTGTTTTACGGGTTTTGCTCTTTTTTGGGTGCATTTACCTGCAATTTTAACATGCTTTTTTGCAGTTCAACTCATATTTTTCTGCATCTGGAATAAAGTTCTATCAAAATTGTATATTCAACTTTTAGCAAAATACTAAAAGTATGGTCATCTGCTCTACCTAGGTTTAACATCTTTTTCCTCTTCTTTGTTCCCAGAGAATCTAAAATTTCGGAATTGGATATGCGGCTGGTTTTGATACTTTCATCAAATACTATTGCAAAAAGAAGACTCATAGCAATGAAGTTCGATTGAGTGATTGACTTTTACAAGAAGTGCAATTTCTTTTGTACGGTTGCCCTTGCATATTTCATATTGTGTATGACATAATTACTAAAATGAATGTACATTGTATGGAGCTATTATGTAAATATCTAATCAGCATGATCATACGTTTTCTTTATATGCAAATGATTATTATGCTATACAATTGAAATAAGTATGAACCTTTTTGGTACAACAATGCTGAGGTACAATAATGTTGGGCTTATGCCCGTGCACAGCACAGACTCGGGCCATCTAGTCTTTATATAATTTTAAATTCAAATTTGTCGTCCACTATAATCTTTCAAAGCTTAATATAACATGTTTCATTTAAATTAATATTTAGAAATTTAAAACATCATAAGAGGATTATGTTGGTGCATGGATAATATAACCTCATTCAAATGGAACAAATGGTTCAAGTAAAAAGTGACTGAGAAATCAAAGGAGCAAAGCTAACAAGCAGGACTAAGGCTCGATATCCACTAATAATTCCTATCATCAACTTATAAGTTCAATGAATAGGGTTACGAACATCATTTTAAACCATAAGCATGCATGCATATTCATGACAGAAGCATAGTCACCATTATTGTGTCATAGTACCTCTCATTTATATATATAAAATAAAAGTCAATCAAGAATAGAAGCTATGGGTACTGCCAATGCATTATCTTTAATTAAAAAAGGAAAAAGAATATCGCTAAAGACTACCAAAGGTAACTAAGCTAGAAGCTAATAAACAACCATGAGAAACTATTTGCCAACAAATTCTATAATAATGAAGAGAAGGAAGGAAAGGAAGGCTCAACAGAGGTTTAGATGATAAACAACAAACACAAATTAACAACAAGCAATGCACAAACAAACATTAAGAGTACTCAACGTGAGCTTTTGGATTTACATTTCAAGACTTTTTCTTTGTTTTTCCTCTGATTATCGCGTTTTTAGAGCATTACTAACTTGAATATAGGAACCACCTTCATTCATGCCCCAAAACCAAGGGTCAAAACGACTTAACTTCCATAGGGCGAATTTATTGATTATGTCCATAATATCAAATAAACATATGGTGATTTGAGCATCATCAAACACGTGCAATTAGGCTCCGGGCAGTCTCATACCATCATGCGGTAATTTATAAATGTATACGGCTAAAATCGGAGAGCCCGATTTTATGACCGTTATGACATTCTGCGGCCCACCTCCAGAAGCCTCGAGGCACAATTCGAGGTTCAACCCTGAGGGTTCCCAGTGCTTGACCTCGGGGCAGCCTAAATCAATGGCTACCATGGACAAGCGGGAAGTTCCCAAGGCACGTGACCAAAGCTGACAATACCTGCAATAATAGTACTAGTCTGTACCATACTCGTAAATAGATGTACCAGCTATTTTTCTTTGTAATAATTATACATGTACCATGTTGGGACTCCCCCTCCTATATAAAGCGGACCCTTATCATTTTGTAAGGGGGATGATATTCAATACTAGAACAAGAACATTCTCTGCTCTCCAACTTAAACACATTCTCCCTTGATTTTATTGCTTACATTTATTACATTGCTTACATTTATCGTCTTTTATTGATTGTTCTTCATTTATTACTCATCATTGATCATAAATAGCCATCATCAAGGCTTTTAGAACTGTTAGTCCTTCATCGGCTATACACAGTCCAATGCTTTAGCTCGACCTCGAGGCCCCGTATAGGCTAGCTCGAGACCCCGACTCTCGGCCACTCGATTTGCTTGTCACGCTATCTTCAAGCTCTATCTTATTTTCTAGTCTCACACTCAACCTCTACTGCCTAACAACTAGCATAAAAATAAATCACATATTTTTAGAACCACAAAAATCAAATCTAATTGTAATTACCATTTTCAAGGTAAATAGTTTGGAGCCCACCATGGGGCTAAAAATAATAGTGATTGTTTTCGTGCTGGTTTATTGCAAACACAAGTTATTCTTCACACTTTTTCTTGTCCAAGAATCATTGATTTCAGGTCAAAATGTCTAACTCAGTAAATGCACACGAAAACAACGGTCCTGAGGACCATGGAGAGAATGGTGTAGCTGTTCCAGGCGCCGGTAGACCACTGCGAAACCCTGAGGGTGCGCCAGAACCAATCCCCATGGATGTGGGCTCACGCAACGCCCAGCACGTCAGTATAAGCTCCCACACTAACGGGAGTATACGCCAAGGAAACCAACAGGAAGCTAAAAAAATTCCTGCCCGGGAAGAAAGAGAGGCATACAGGAGGAACGGAACGGGAAACCCCCAGCACATCGTTCATATGATCATTGGGGGGACCAAAATTCCTCAAGGATCCGTGATCAAGCGGGCAACAGAAGGGCAAATTCGGGGCCGCATGCCCGAGGACATCCTTGCATTCAGTGAAGAGGACTTCGAGACCTTGTCTCAACCCCATAACGATGCGCTGGTAATTTCATTTCTCTTGAATAACGTTCAAATCAAACGTGTACTCGTGGATCCAGGTAGCTCGGCCAACGTAATCAGATCGAAGGTGGTAGAACAGCTCGAATTGCTCGATCAAATTATACCTACCTCCCGAGTCCTCAACGGCTTCAACATGGCCGGCGAAGCAACGAAGGGGGAGATCACCCTCTCGGTTAACGTGTCCAACAAAGTTCGAAACATATAATTTCACGTCATCGAAGGTGAAATGAGGTACAATGCATTGCTTGGAAGGCCATGGATACACAACATGAGGGCAGTACCGTCAACTCTTCATGAGAAGATAAAGTTTCTAATAGAAGACGGTATAAAAACAGTATATGGAGAACAACATGCGGCGAAGGAGATGTTTGCGGTTCATGAGGAGGCACCAACTTCAATACCCTCCACCTCGGAGGAGCCGGAGGGCAAACAGACCCCTGAGAATGACGAAGAAGACTTCCTCGCCCCCCGAACCTTCGTTGCCCGAAGAATCGGATGCAACAAAATCAATAGTTGAAGAGCTAGAGCAAGCTGTTTTGATCGAGCATCTCCCAGATCGGAAGGTATACCTGGGAACGGGATTAACCCCCGAACTCAGGAAAAAATTCATTCAATTTCTTATTAATAACATCGATTGCTTTGCGTGGTCCCATTTAGATATGATAGGGATCCCGCCGGTAATAACCACCCATCGACTAAGTGTCAATCCCAAGTTCAAACTGGTGAAGCAAAAAAGAAGACCTCAGTCCGAGGTAAAACACGCGTTCATCAAGGATAAGGTAATAAAACTCCTCAAAATAGGATCTATTAGGGAAGTAAAATATCCCGAATGGTTGGCCAATGTGGTGGTAGTTCCCAAAAAAGGGAATAAGTTAAGAATGTGCGTAGATTATAAAGACTTAAATAGAGCGTGCCCCAAAGATTCATTCCCGTTGCCCAACATCGACCGCTTGATCGATGCCACGACCGGCCACGAGATCCTCACCTTTCTCGACGCCTACTTGGGGTATAATCAAATTTAGATGAACCCCGAGGATAGGGAAAAAACTTCGTTCATCACGAAGTACGGTACGTAGTGCTACAATGTGATGCCCTTCGGGCTAAAAAATGCAGGATCCACGTACCAACTCCGAGTTAATAAGATGTTCGAACACCAAATAGGCAATTCCATGGAAGTTTACATTGATGATATGCTAGTTAAGTCCCTGCGCACAGAGGACCATTTAACTCATTTGCAGGAGACATTCGACATCCTCAGAAGCTACAGCATGAAACTCAATCCCGAGAAATGTGCCTTCGGAGTGGGTTCGGGCAAATTCTTAGGCTTCATGGTGTCAAACAGGGGGATTGAGAACAACCCCGATAAAATCAAAGCCATCGAAGAGATCACGGTGGTAAACAATGTGAAGGCCGTGCAATGGCTGACCGGGCGAATAGCAGCCTTGGGTCGATTCATATCGAGGCCGTCAGACAGGAGTCATCATTTCTTCTCCTTACTCAAAAAGAAAATGGCTTCAAATGAACTCTGGAATGCCAACGTGCCTTAGAGGAGTTGAAGCGATATCTGACGAACCCACCTTTACTCCACACCCCAAAAGAGGATGTAAAATGCTGTATTTGTACCTAGCTGTCCGAGGTAGCGGTAAGTGGTGTGCTGGTTCGAGAAGAGCAAGGTACGTAATTTCCTGTCTATTATGTATCGGACCCTGGGAGATGCTGAAACCAGGTATCCGCACCTAGAAAAGTTAGCTCTTGCATTAATAAGCGCATCTCGAAAATTAAAGCCTTATTTTCAATGCCATCGTATTTGTGTTTTAACGACATATCCTCTTCGAAACATATTTCATAAGCCCGAATTATCAGGCCGTCTGGCCAAATGGGCCATCGAACTCGGGGTGTACGATATCGAATACTAACCTCGAACGGCTATCAAGTGCCAAATTCTGGCGGATTTTGTGGCCGACTTCACACCCGCTCTCGTGCCCGAGGTAGAGAAAGAACTTCTACTAAAAATGGGCACATCTTTGGGGGCATGGACCTTGTTCACCGATGGTGCCTCGAACGTGAAAGGGTCCGAACTCGGCATAGTTCTGAAGCCACCTACGGGAGGCATGATTAGGCAATCTATAAAAACTGCAAAATTGACTAACAACGAAGCCGAGTATGAGGCTATGATTGCAGGTCTAGAATTGGGCAAAGGCCTAGGAGCGGAAATCATCGAAGCAAAATGTGATTCCCTTCTGGTGGTAAACTAGGTAAATGGGAACTTCGAGGTTCGAGAAGACAGGATGCAAAGATACTTAGACAAAATTCAAGTTACATTGCACCGCTTCAAAGAATGGACTCTGGTCCACATACCTCGAGAACAGAATAGCGAGGACGATGCTCTCGCAAACCTGGGATCATCCGTCGAGGAAGATTACATACTCCCCGGGGCTGTTGTTCAGCTACCAAATTAGTGATCGAGGAAGGCCACGCCGATATCAACTCCACTAGCCTGACATGGGATTGGAGAAACAAATATATCTATTATTTGGAAAATGGGAAGCTACCCCCGGACCCAAAAGAGTCGAGGGCTCAGCGAACCAAAGCAACCCGATTCTCACTCGACGAAAATGGAACTCTATACAGAAGAACCTTTGATGGGCCCCTAGCAGTATGCCTGGGACCGGGGGACACAG